CATTGGTAGGATGACTTAGAGAAACGCACCTTCTCCTGAGTCCATTGTATGCATAATTATTTCCAAAGTCAGACTGTGGACGTGGTACATTCCCAGACGTTTTGCCGGCATCGTAGTCGGCATCGTCAGTGAGTTTTTCCATTCGTAGAAACCAAATTACAATTCGTAAAAAAGACAAGTGAAGCCGATCCTTTGACCAAACGTGTGCTTAACAGTTATGGTATCTCCCATACTGCCTTAACCTATCACATTTCCTATATCCTCAAATCACGCCTTCACTGTCACAATATTTTACTTGCTTAATTAAATGTGGTACGGTATACCCTTCCGAGCGGCTTTCATGTGAACCCTCCATACTCCACGCTGGCCTTCACACCACCCTTCATTCTTGTGCTGGGAATGTTGATCAGAGTCAGCCATATTGTTACGCAATCCTCCTTCCATAGGTCTTACCACAGTCTCTCTCTTGCCCCATAAGATCCGTCTGCCCTCTCTCTGGTTCACATATTTCACTCGACCCCTGCCTCGATCTGTGCTACTCGAGACGTTATTATCCCTCCCATGCGTCTTGGTGACTATTTCGAGGCTAAAGCCTCTAAGTAAGTCTCATGGTCAGGCCTTTGCCACATGGAACACATCTCTTATAAAACCTACTATCAACCTACTAGCTCCCATCGCCGCCCCGTATATCCTTTTTTTATCTCTAATACCAAGTCTATGACTTCCCATGCCCTATTCTCTTGTGTGCCAACCCAAAAATGTTGTGGTACTACTTGCTTTGACTAGGTTCAATAAACAAGGTCCGACAACTTCAATAACGTAGTCGATTGCTATGACAAATATAAATATGCATCATTTACAATCCTATCACATAATGTGATATGGGAAAATGCCTAGCCCCCCTTAAAATTTACATATGCTGTTGTAGTTGTCACCATGTCTAGACTATTCTCCGCACTACCATAACCCTGGTTCTGTAAGGATATCCTCTAAAATCTTTACATCGTTGCCGAGTAAAATATTTAACCCCTTCTTAAGGAGATCCACCATTTCCGAATCAAGAGGCATTGAGGATAAATTTACTACCTTATCCTCATCGTCCTTGGATTGAGTGGATGCTGTTAATACGGGAACATCATGATTTGATCGGATTGGCTGAATCCTGAACTGTCTTATTATCCCATATCTAAGCAATTTCTTGTCATGCCGCTTATTTATCAAATCCTGGACCTTCTGTGATTTCTTGTCAGTAATACTTTGGAGTTTGTGGAAATCATCCACAGTGAGACCGCGACCATACAAAGTGCCACATCATCTTGGCCTTCAAATCTTCGAATAATATGTAAATTCACACTCTTAACCAACTTTGTCTTTTCTTCGTTTATCAAACTTGGTGATCCAGTCCAAGAAACCACGGCAACTGCGTTTTCGTGGGCTGTTGCGAGTTGCTTGAAATCCATGTGGTTACCAGAGTCAAGAAGTAGAGATGGAAAATTTAGTGATTCCTATGTCATCGCTGAGGCCGTTTAGACGAGCAATTCTCGGCTGGTGCAGTCCTGTTGAAGCCTAAAGAAATGTGTCAATAATGGTCCATCTTTTGCCGTCATGCCGACGCCCGATTCGACAACCCGGCCAGCAGGGATCATCATCAGGTTGGTACCATTCGCAACGGGGCCTCGGAGTGCACCTGCAGGCGACAGATTCCCAACTGTCCGCATCGGCCCTTCCCAATTCTAGACAAGCCTGACTACACGAGTGCAGACATCCGTCGTCGGAAAAGCCTGCTCCTATCGCTATGCTTATTACATGTTGCCGAAATTTGGCCTTTGAAGCCATGAACTGGGCAGGAAAAAGAGGCCATCTCGTGTCCCGGACGGAGAGGGTTAATACAGTTTCGGAGTGGGAGGGAATAGGGTAGACTGGAGGGAAGTAGGTAAAACCATTGTCAGGGTGAGAATAGGACGCTGGAACGATAGAGACCTTGGGAAAATGTCGACAAGAAAGAAATGCGACTAAGCTGTATGCATGAGTATGCATGGTATGCGCATGCGCAAGTGCGTATGTACATTGTGTGTATGTGTGTAATTATGCGTCATTTTATGCGAGCGTGGGACGTGCAATAGTTTGGGCTTCTGAAGACGTCAAACCCCAATTGACCCTCTTCCACAGAAGCCCCCCGTGGACCGCAAATTCAAAAGGCCTTACGCCGCTCAAACTAAGTTGCTTAGACAACTAGACAGCTCTAGTCTCCTGCTGGGTTAGGTTGTGTGCACTGTATGTGCATATAGAGGCGTTAACACGGGCAATATCGGCAAGTGGTGCAGTCGTCTCGTAAATTGAACAAAATGCAGAAATAATTTCGATGAACCATATTTGAAAAAAACTGAATCTGGTATGTTATTTGGGGTGTATTTTGCTTGAAAACTGGTCGGAAAGGGTTGTTAATTGGCCGCCTCGATCCCCGTCTCCTGGTACCCCAAAAGTCGGGAACCTTTGCCAAGGCAGAGTGCACTCAGGCCCAACGACCAAGGGCTGCCACAGACTGGCCCACCGACTGCCCCAGAGCCCACATTTTCGGGATTCGACCTTCGCAGATGAGTTTTGGCAGACACACTATCAGGAGAGAAGACATTCACGCTTGAAGAGCATCAGAAAACAGCTCAATTCCACCCAGATCGTTAAATTCTCTGTAAGTATTGATGATGGAATTTTCCGCAATGATGTAAGAAGATCTCACGATGCCATTTCAGTTTTCTTAGTCTTGCTCCCAAAAGGTCTCATCGTCCAGTTTTGGCCTCGCCCCACTTTTTGTCATCCACGCCACAATGGAAGTAAAAGCCGGCTCGCGGGCATTAAGTGACCATTTTTTACTGCCGCACCATACAGCCTCCAGTGCCAATTGGTAGCAGAGCAGATGTCACCTTTAAGATAATCTAGGCCCCAGCCAATTCCATCCAAAGCCGATGGTGGATTCCTCTCGGTTGCCTGCCA